CTGTGCCCAGATCTAAGGAAAAGGGTGGAGCAGAGGAAACAGACACAGACCCTGGGGTGGGAATGAGCTCTTTGAGCTCAAGAAACAGAAGGAGGGCAACGATTGGAGGGTATGTAGATATTCTAGAGTCAGGGAAAAATGGCTACCTTTTGCCAAGCAGTCTTGGAATGCTATTAGAGACTCAGAAATATAACAGACTAGAGGCCCGGCACATGAAATTCGTACGTGGGTATGGTCCTAGGCCAGCCGTGGGCAAACTACGGCCCGCGGGCCGGATCCGGCCCGTTTGAAATGAATAAAACTATTGAAAAAAAAGACCGTACCCTTTTATGTAATGATGTTTACTTTGAATTTATATTAGTTCACACAAAAACTCCATCCATGCTTTTGTTCCGGCCCTCTGGTGCAGTTTAAGAACCCATTGTGGCCCCCGAGTCAAAAAGTTTGCCCACCCTATCCTAGGCCATCCCTGCCCCTCCCCCACGCCCCGTTCCCTGTTTACCATTGGGCAATCGGACGGAGCCTGCTGGCCCGGGGGGGAAGGGACCAAGAGGTTGGCTGGCAGGTCCCCATCAGGCTATCAGGGCCTGCGGGCTGGGGCAGCCCCTGTATTGTGGTCAGCGCGCATCATAGTGACCGGTTGTCCTGCCGCTTGGTCCATTTGCATATTACCCTTTTATTATATAGGATGTATATGTACTACATATAGATGTATACCTCATCTCATTCAGCAATGTAATGAGGTAGGCATTATTATTTTTAGAAAATGGAAGTAACCAGATCTCAGAGACCAGGCCTATATCGCTAGGAAGTTGCAGAGCTAGGACCTAAGTCAGGGCCTCCTGCTTTTCCATCCCTCCCCCAACTGCAGACCAGGAGAACTGAAGCAAGACAATTGGAATGACTAAATGCTGAGTCACTGGCCTCCGAGGCTGGCTTTAATGAATTGTGCGGTGGCGGTGGCGTTGATGGGATGTTAACAACAATGACTGTCAAACAATGATGACAGTGGTAGTAATTGTGCCGATATCACATACTTTTATAATTTGTAAATTACTTTGCAGGGTCTTATTTGTAGCTCAGAAGAGCCCTTAAAGATAAGCAGGACAGGTTTTACTTTTCTCACTTAAGAGATTACCTGAGGTGATACCGGGAACACGGCTGGAACGTGGCTCTTCTGATTCTAATTGAGGGCTCTCTCCTCAAACCACAGAAACCCCAGATTGAAGGAGGAGATATTTATGACTCAGAAGCTTGTAGTCCTCCAGGCTGCCAGAAGACAGATTTGTACTTTCCTCAAAGTGCTTTTCACTGAAGAAGAGGCATAAAAGATGGACTCATTCATCATGTATTTACTGAGCAACTGTTGTGTTCCAGACGCTGGGAATATCACAGGAGCCCAATTAAGTAGGTTGGAAGGTACTAATGTAGCATAGTGCTGTTTGCACTGTAATACAAGCCAAGAAAAAAAAATACTATAGGAATACAGAGGAAGATGTAATTAAGAACTTTGGGGAATTCAGGGAAGGCCTTACCAAGAAGATGACCAAAAAAACTGGGCCTTGAAGGATGAATAGCAGGGTTTCCCCAGGGAGAAAAAAAGCAAGAAAGGTTTAGGAAAAAAAGATTATTACAATAGAAGAATATGGTGTCTTTGGGGAATAGTAAGTAAGCGTGTGTTTGGAGAGCGTGGGGTGTATAGAAAGTAATGGTGGGAAATGATGCTGGTAGATGGAAGTCTGATTGTAGGGGGGCCTTGAATGCCAGGCTCAGGAGATCCTGCAATTGGCCTTACCGTCCAAGGCTTGTTAGCAAGGGAATTGGCATGATTATATTTGCTCTGTTTTAGAAAGCAAATGTTGTTGGCAAGGGGAGGTTGGATTGAATCAGGGGTAAGTCTAGAAGCTACTGTAATAGTTGAGGAGCAAGAGCAAGGCTCTGGATTGGTTGTAATCCCTAGTTATGTCTTGAAGAGAAATGTGGCAATGACACCAATGAGACTGAAGGACTAATTGGATATAGAGACACACCATCTGGATTTTGGATGTACACATTAGTTTTCCATTTGCGTGCGCACGCACACACACGCACACACATGTACACACACGTACACACGTGTACTTGTGCTCCGTATTTTGGTTTCCCCAGACTCAGCTCCGTCTCTGCCTGACTCTTTAAGCTGGCCATTGATTTATTTTTCTAGCCTCAAAAACAGAAGAAAAAGTTATAGGTCTGTGTTCTTATTCTTTCTTTACGATTTGATCTTTGATGATCCCATAGGATTCTTCAGGTTGAGAAATGCTGAGAGCAAAGGAATTTTTGAAGGCGTGGATGCTATGGCTCTATTTATGTGCTGCAGGTTACTTACCTTGTATGTACTTGGAACTGTTGCATAGATGAGAGCCCGCCTACTAAGCATTTTGGGGAAATTATTCTTAGCCAGTGACCTCTGGTGAGGAAAGAGTAACAGCGCATCCTGTGCCCTCTTCATTTTAGTCCTCCCACTGAATGCTGATGGAGAATGTGCATGTCAGGTAGGGAACCACGGTGTCATGGTGATCTGGAAAAGAGGCGTGATTTCTGTTTTCTCTTCAGGCTCTTTACGGAAGGTAGAATCCAGTTTTGTTGTTGAAAGACCGAGCTTTAAAGAATCGTTGGCTTTCAGACTGTATAAAGCTCAGTCAGCAAGAGGCTCTGAAGCACATTTTCTGAGAAAGCTACATTTTTTTTTCTCTTAAACAAATGGCAGGTATAGCCACATCATTCAGAGAACCTTGGAGTCTTAAAAGGCATTAAATCATGCTGCTGTAGAATGTTTGCCAGAGTCACTTGGCCATTCACATGGCCATCTAACAAGGAGCTATTGGAAACCCATTACCAGTGTCCCACCAGTGAGCAAAGACAGTCCTCCAAACTGTCCCATGTTTAATCGACTTGGCTAAATATTTTGTACTTTACAGAGATTAACTGGTGTTTGTCGCTGTCTGAAACATGAGGTGTTTTCTGTCCTCTCTTGAGGAGGGAGGAGTGGAGGAGTCGCCAAACTTTAAAAATTAATTACATTTGAGTAAGTGACCGGAATGCCTGCTTTCATTGACGGATTGTTATATAATTTAATTATTTAACCTATTAAGTAATTTATAATTCTGCAGTTTTATCACTTGCATGCTTCATTTTCACCCGATATATTCAAGGTATTGAATCTGTTCCGCAAACAGTATTAATCTCAATTACTTTGGGAGCTTGAAATCATATTCCCTTATTAAATATAGTCTTTGTTATGCTGGCCATGTTTTTGCAGGGTCAGAAACTGATGATGCTGATAAAAGCAAACATGGAGTTAAAAAACCCTTTTCATGTTTCAATTAGATTAAAAAATGATTTGTGCATTTATATTTCCCAAATGGTTTTGATGATGAGAAAACACCTTATTAGGCTGAGTTGGAACATTGAGTCTAAAGTCCAACCTCATGGTTTGGTTTTATCTGAGGGACATTAAAATAGTAGAACATTTTCTGTCTTGGCAAGCATCACAGTGTTGAAATTTTGGAAAAAATTTTTTTTTAAATTTGGCCTTGAGACTATCTTGAAGGAAGGGCCTGCCACTCATCTCTATACCCCTGACACATAGTGGGTGCCTTTTCAATGTTTGCTCACTGCAGTTGCACTGAAGTGAACAATAGCACAGAATTTGAGAGTCAGGCTCCCAGGATTTCCTAGTTAATGTACATAGGACTGCCCTAACACCACATCCTTTCCTCGTTGCAAAAATTTAATTTTATTACATTTATCTTTGATGCAGAACATTTGAATGGCCTTGTGGTGGGTCTCACTTGGGTGCTGAGTTAACTATTCCCTGGGAGCCCCACCCTGGTTTTAAGCTGTTGTATCCAGGCTTCTCAGAGTGAGCTTGCCTCTGCGTAGACATCACAACCAAATGTCCAGATGATACTTCATCTTGGAGGTAAAAGCAGAGAACTAAAATGAAAAACTATATCAAGGAAGCCACCTGAAAAACAAACTCAGGGATATTTGTATTTCCCTATTAACTCTTTGCTAGCACAAGGGAATTAGCCTTTCCTGCAAAAATAAAAAGGTGACCCAGGCCCTGGCTAGTGTTGCTAAGTGGTCAGAGCGCTGGCCTGCATGCCCAGAGGGTCTCAGATTCAATTCCAGTCAAGGGAAGGTACCTGGGTTGCAGACTCAATCCCAGACCCCGGTTGGGGCCCAGATGGGAGGCAACCAATTGCTGTATCTCTCTTACATTCAGCCCCTCCCCCCTTCTACAGTCTCTAAAAGTCAATGGGGAAAATATCCTCAGGTGAGGATTAACAGAACAACACACACACACACACACACACACACACACACACACACACACACACACCAGGTGACCCAAGAGCAATCTCTCCAAGTTAAAAAAAAAAAAAAAAGTTCTGATGTTTTACTGTGGAGTCCAATTCAACTGGCATTTAACTTTAGAACTTGCTTCCCCAATTTAATCATCAGCGAACTCTAAGTAATTAATATAGGCACTGAGTGTATAGGTTTCATATTAAAATAGAATGGGGGGAAAGGCAAGTGGGAGGAGTGTAAAATTCCTCACTCATCCTTTAGTCACCAGTGTGGGATTTCTCCTCTGCTGCTTCCCTTAGTCTAGCTCAGACTTTCCCAAACTTCAGTGGCACTGTGAATTACGCTACAGGGTTGTTTATCCAGAACCCCATAGTCTGTGTCTGATGGGTGAGTTCAGAGACCTCAGAGGAAAACATTAACTATCATCCTGAACATACTGCACAAGAAAATGAATGAACAGAGATGCGAATTTCTGGAGAGACCCTTACTTAACCTTTCCTGCCTACATTTCTCACTTGTGACATAGGGAGGCCGGCCCCTGGTCATGTCATCCTGCGCTTTGGGCAAAGTGCCATTGCTGTCCTCGTCGTGACCTCTCTGGGCACATGAGCGGGGCTGCCGGATCTGTGAGAGGCCGTCGCCATCATTTAGAGTGGGTTTCAGGTGGGCTCCTGAGACAGGTGCTGTGGGCTGTGCAGGAAACTTCCCGAGTGGCTGGTGTAACTCTGGGGCGCTGCTTCTTGGTTTTAATAACAAGCAGATCTTATCAGCAACTGGGTGGAAGGTAAATCCCCCATCTTTCTGAACTTCTGTGGAGGCAGGGGGCTGTTCTGCCTCTCAGAACCGGCTGTCATCGGCAGCTGCTCTCCTGTCACACTGACACGGCCCCCTGGCTGGGCTGATTGGTCGCTGGCAATAACTGATGTGGAATACTGATATTCTCGCTGGCGGTTCCTTCCACGCCAAAGAGGCTCCTCTTCTTGCCTTCCTGACCCCAGCCCGGTGCGCTGCTCGGCCTCCCCAGACCTTGCCGCCCCTGCACCCGGGGGAGGACCAGTCCTGGGCGTGATGCTCTGAGGCTGCTGAAATCCGCCAGGCTGCTTTCGCTCCGGCTTGCTCTCGGGAGAGTCCTGCTCCAGACTTCTCAGGGTTTTTACAGCACAGACAACTGTATGCGGGCCCCTGGGGAGGCTGCAAAGGACTCCTGTGTGGTGGTTTTATCGCCTTTCATCACTTTGCTGGCCGCATCCCCACCCCTGCCTGGAGCTTGATGGTGGATTTCTTTTCTTGCCTGAGAAGCCGAGGAAGGATCCCTCTCCTTCTGTTGACTCTTTCTATTTTTATGGTAAGTGCTTGCCTTGAATGAGCTGGTCTGCGGCAGTGAAGGGAACGCTCTCGCTCTCTGCTCTCTCTCTCGCTGGCTCGCTCTTCCCAGCTCAGCTTGGTGACCTTCTCTCTGCGGTCCCCCTGTTTACATGCATCCATGTCAGGGGAGCTCCCTAAAATGCCAGGAGTCATTTGTCCGGGTTGCCTGCCTCTTGATTTTTATCCTTTGCCAGAAACCCCAGCTCCTGGGCTGTGATGGAAACATAAGCACTTCTCTCTCTTTGTCCTTGAAGCGGCAGCCGGGGAAATGTGCTCAGGATGGTGAATTGCAGCAGTGTGCAGGGGATCTGTGCAGGGGGCACTGGCACATTTGGGCAAGATGAATTCTTGGCATCTGGAGGGGCACTCTCTGGGAATCTGGAAGGCGTGGGGCTGATCCACCCACGGAGCAAACTCTTCCATCTTTCCGGGTGCAGGCGAGCACATGCATGAGTGATGTCGGAGTCCGCTGCGGGCAGTGGTGCTTTTGCACACCTGCCGGTGGGTCCAGGATGGCCCTGGATCCTGTGGCTTTAACAACTTGGGCAATAACATTGGCGGCGGGAGGAATCCTGCACTGGCTCACGGGGGTAGACTGCATGACCTCATCGCTTCTTTCCCTTTGGAGTCTCAGGGTGCCTGTTCTGCAAACCATATTTTGCATCCTGTTCGGAGGATGGTGTGTCAGTGACGATGGGAACCTTTTTGAGTTGACAACATAGTTTCATCCTCCCGCTGGGAGGTAACATGCTGTGAGGCTGTGAGAATGGTTAGACTTTTCTAAGAGAAAATAAGCAGGTTCCCAAGGAAGAACATGAGTGTTGCAGTGTCCACGGGCAGATTGTTTACCCCAGGGCATTCCTCTTGGAAGAGGGCTCGGATGGTTCACTTGGTCTCCCGAGGCTTGCTGCAGAGAGTGCCACAACTTCAAGTCCATCCCTGGCTGCCTCTTGAAGCCCAAAGGAAGCCAAGAACATTTTGGTATAGTTCTCACCTTGTGGAGCCTGTGATTGAAGGGGTCTCTCTTCACAGGGCCATTTTCTTCTTCCTCCTTTAATTTTTTTTTTAACTTTTGGTAGCAGGTGTGTTGAAGTATTTTGGTCAGTGCAGCATCCCAGAGAATAAATGTCACAGTTGTAATTCTGCTTTGTCCTTTCCTAGTCTTGGGCTAGAGATGGGTCAGCTTCTCTGATTTCTAATTCTGGTCCATTTTACTCTCAGGAAGCTTCCCATTCCACGCAATTCAGGCTGTGGTTTATAGGATACTGTACTCATACATGTGATTTTGGGGGTGGGGGATGGGTAATAAAGGAGGAAAAAACTGTGGAATGAAGTTGCTGGTCTCTCCCCCTGTTGCCTGGGAGTTTGGAATGTAAAGTTCCTTAATGTCCTGCTCATTCTCACCACTTTTGTTTCCACCATCTGTGTGGATTTTTCTTAGAATAGTGGTGATGACATATGCCTTTCCCTGGGTCCTGAGTAACAACGTTTGGTGTTTTAATTTTGGTGGAGGGTTCTTTGCGTATATGGAAGCATGCATATAAATATCTGCAAATTCTTGCTCTTTATTGAAATGATAGTCCGGTTGCAGAGTAAAACCACAGTGAGTTAACAGCAACAAATTTAGATCCTTGCAGACTGCAATCTCTGAATCCTTAAACAATGTTTCAGTTACTTTCAGCATTGTTGAGATGAGCTGTCTTCAAATCCACTCTTCCCTACCCGGATTAGGGTTCCCTGCAAGATAGTGCTTTGACTGGCAGACTTCTCTGTTCCTTTGATGATTCTTTAATGCTTAGTTGTTTGCTTTCGTCCTTAATAGTGTTTTCTTACTTTGCTTAAATTTTTTTGGTCCCGTTGCAAGGATTTTTATCAGGTGCTTGGCATCTCAGCTTGAAGTGTTCATCAGCTTGGGTGTCATGGAAATAGACACTAATTTCACACTGCGGGCAATTTCAGATGTGACTAGGAAAGACTTCATTTTGATTAGTAGCAACTTTAGCTGCGAGATTAATTCCTAGACTTGTTTTATTTTGCTGAACAATGTTTATCTCTGCAATCAGAACTGCATATATATATATGCATAGACACTAATGTACTGTTTACTTGTGACTCTTATGTGTTCATATTTTTAATAGTTGCAGCACGCTCACTCAGAGAATAGAAGAAACGTTTCTGAGATACTGAGAAATTGCTTAGCATTCTCTATCCTCTAGCTAACTTTTTTTTCCCTGGTAGAGATTTTCCTACTCCCCACACCCCTCCTTCATATAACACCTTTGAGAATTTCTTTGAATCTGGAGAGCCATTCTTCAGCCTTTCTTTGTCTCAGGGCATAGGGTCGTGTTAATTTCTTTGCAGGGTCTCCAGCGGCAGCATAGAAAACTACTGCAGGAAAAATGCACAAACGCAGAGCCTCTTGGTGTGATGAAGTCACTGCAACATTTTATTTGCGTGTGCTGATTTAGCTGCTGTGTCTTGCAACTGATTTTGCCTGCAACCCTAGCAAATGAAAGTTATTTGAAACGGCGCTGGAATCACCTGGATTGGTTGCCGATGCAATTATTCACTTTGCACATTTCTTAATGACGGCTATCATTGAAACAGTGTTCTTACTCTGTTTCTTTTCGGTGTTGTTTTTCATTTGAAACCGGCAGATTATATTGTGAGTCACTGCTTTCCATTTTTATTTTCTTTCTTCCTGCTTTCTTTCTTTCCCACATTTGCTTTATATATGTTTCTATACATGAGCCTGCATATGTGTACACATATAAACTCAGACAGTGAAAATTGGCGGTTAACGAAGAGGTGGCTACAGCTTCTCTTTTCGTAGCCAAACTCCAGTGTTCAACCTGTAATCACGTAACTGAAAGAAGAAATCGCTCCCATTAATATAAATATAACCTCATGCCTCTGCAGACATTCTTGTCATTGAAACTGTTTCCCATAGCTGATTGCCAGGACCAGAAATAGAATCAGTTTTGCATTTTAATTAATGACACCCTGCGTCTGTCTAGGTTGGACTGCCCTTAAATCCTTACATGTTTACTATCTAAAAGGTCTTTGTGTTAAGAGGGGGAGTTTATGGGTGATACCAAGTAAAATCATTTGATTATGTGATATAACCTTTCTCTGGGAATTGAATGAACAGTATCATTAAGGATGTTGGCTGAATTTTTCTGTTGCTTTTCGCAATGCAATTAAATCCATATATTCCCTTTATTCTCCACAAGCCTTTTTTTTTTTTTAAACTGAGTAAAATGAGTAATGCACAACTCCCACATAAAGCTGCTCAGAGGGAGGACCATGCTTTAACAGAGATTCAAAACCACTTCTGACACCAGCTATGGTGATCTACTTTGAAAGGAACTTGCTATTGCAATTGGCAACTCAGACAGATTGTATAACAACGGAGAAGTGCCCAGGAGCCGTGTGGAATGCTGCATGTCGATCCGTGCTTCCTTTCTGAATTCGTTTAGGACTACAGTCATTAGATCAGCTTTGCAGGAACAAATCATGTCCTCAGTAGTATAACAACCTAACCAGGCTGTCATAAATGTTTGTGTCCCAAGCTCTGTCTCATGGGTGGTAGAGGGAGATGGCAGAAGTTTGGAGGAGACCCAAATCACAGCCCCAAAATAATGCAAGATGAAAGGGGAATATTCTTCCCTATAGTTAGCATTTAATTCTCCAGAAATACCGTTGGCCTTAAGTCTGAAGAGCTAAGAGATTGATAAAAAAAACACAGAGTGACAGGTTTTGAGGGCCTTTTCTCTAATAGAAATCCTTGACCCTTAATTAGGCATCTGCTTAGTGACCTTCCAGTGTATGGAGCCCAATAGCCATTCTCACAGAAAGCAGAC